TGGATGGATGGATGGATGGATGTAGACTATATGAAGATATGTACACAAACAAGTGACCCAGGAATTGGACTGGGAAGACACAGTTGGCGGGCTTCTTCGACGCTATTCAACTGACAACAGCTACTGGCAGTAAAGCAGATACGTGAACGCAAGGCTGACTCCACGCTCCGAAAACTCAGGAAATCCCACTATCTTCCAAAACTTGACAGCTCCATCAAGACTAGTTGGATTTTCCCTTCTCAGCACGAAGCATCTAGAGGGTGTATGTGGGAGCTTTACAAGAACTGATGCTCGCGAAGTTTCTGTTAGCACACTGAATATAGGCCTCCCGACTACGTGCTACTGGTACGTACGTGCGCCCACAACGTAGAAAACTGTTCTGATAAGCGAGCGCCAGGAGACCCTGCTCTGCGCGCCGCCTGGGTGGCCTCCTCGGTCAAAGCCAAAATATGCATTAATGGGATCATGTCCTGAAAGGCGGAAGCAATCTAAGTCGTTTGTGTTGTTGTGTTGACCAAGTTAAGAAAATTTGCAGGACCGCAGATAGAACGATTCCGAAACGCTGGGGAGCTTTCGGGTTTGACGCCATGTAATGAACCCCGGAATCTAAAGCTGCAGGTTGAGAGCTGTGAGGCCGTCCACCGAAGATGGCACACCAAGTCCAGGTCCGCAGCTTGTCGCGCTGTCCCCGCCCCAAGGAGGCGCCGCTTCGGGAGGAAGCATCCTTTGGTCAAAAGGTTCACCCCCGGACAACCCCTGTTAGCTTGAAGCCCTGTCAGGTGGCCCTGCCGTGCTGTCCGATGCAACCGCTGAAAGCTTCAGATAATGCAACGCCACCTTTTCGTCACCTTCCCTATCACATGCATTCCAACTACAAATTCGAACAATATCCCCTCTTTGCAGTGAAGCTCTGTCACTGCACAGACAAGTCTGAAAACAGAGCACCATTCCGGTTACTCTTTGATCGGCGGTAGCTACAACCTCTGGTGACTCTTGCCTGCAATGTGAAACACGACCCAATGCCGCCAATGTGGAATGACTGTGCGCTTCAAGCCCAAATCGCTAAGATTGCCATGATCATGCCGCCGAAGAAGAGAGCCAATAAGCTCGCCCAGCGAGGAGGCTGGTTGTGGCAATCTCTGCATTCCCTGAAATCTTCCGGGAGTAGTTCCACCAGGCCTATATGAAGCAACGTGCCAGCAGCAAGTGCATTGAGCATTCCCAGGGTCCAAGCTGTTCTGGGGTCCGCCGGGTCATACTGCTTTGCAAAATATATCCCGAGGACCGCTCCAATGGGACATGAGAGCGTGAAGGTCAGGAACAAGTGCCATGAGCTCCTGAAGCTGAAACCACTCTTCACAGCCACCGCGCCCAGTGCCAGGCCTTCAAAAAACTGATGGAACAGGAGTGCTGCAGTCAAGGACAGGACTGCGACACGTCTTTGCAAGACACCCAATGCCACGCCAACAAGAACAGAGTGCACCATGATTGAGACCTCCATCATGTAGACAACAAAACGCCTGAGTGGCTGGCCTGCCAAGTCCATGTCGTGAAGCTCGATGAGCGGGAGCCCGTGTGTGTGCCCAAACTCGCCGTGATCCACTCCCTTGTTGATAAGACCCTCTTCGAGCCCGTTTCCGTCTGAAGTGGTGTGCTGCTTCACGTACTTCAGAGCCATCATCCCCATCTCCTTGACAGCAACCATCACGAAGATTCCGAAAAGGGCTGCAGCATCTGCCACGGGATAGGTTGTCGAAACATTGCGCAAGTATTCCTCGCCGTCTGCGAGCACGTGCAACAGCGCAACTGAAACCACGAGGCCGGTACAAAGCACTCGCATCAGCTGAAACCATACTGCTTCGAACAGCCTCTCGTTGGAACGCATCGCGAAGAATGGGAAGCCAACACCAGCGAAAGACACGATTAATATCAGGCCTGTTGCCATCCAACGGAGGTCTGTCGAGTCCGCGAGCATGATGCCTTGCGATCCCTGACGAGAGTACAAGGGTACTCGTGCCACGGTGCTGGGGCCAAAATCGCTGCGGCTTTGCTGCTGCTCTGCAGGTCCTGAGGTCCCTACTGAGGTGCCACGCATGCGTCCCCTGTGCTGCAGGTCCGTTCAGGTGTGGTTTCATCGCCCATCTCTCAATACATGATCCCGTGTTCGCGCAGCTGGCCAATCCATGTGCCCGAGAAGAGTTCACGTCGCTTTCACTGATGCATGCAAAAAGCGTCCCTCTTCGTTGCTGGCAGAGGCTCCCAAGCAAACCCATGCACCGAAAGAGCATCGCAAAAGCCACAAGCGCTGCCTGCACAGGGCACCAACTCAGCATTCATGCAAAGGCCCCCAACTCCGCACTGGCGTCCCATAGGCAATAGGCCAACAGTGTGGTCAAAATTGAGAAGCCGCGTCGCATGCCACCTCACGCCCTGAGCACCCCAAAACACCATGTAAATCATCGAAAAATCGACACCGACTAGTCATGTCCGGCCACCTTTGGAGCGACATGTCTGCAACCATCTGGAAGCCGCGAGCCGTTGCTGAGCCTCGCTCCTCGGCAGACTTTGGCCAATAAGTTCGTCCGACATCGGGAATTATGCAGTCTAAATCTACGGCATATGCAGGCGTTCTGGCAGCAACACTCGCGATACCCGTGGCGATCAACACACAACTCCAGAAGCAGCAAAGACGGCAGCAGTCGTAGCAAGGGCAGCAGCCGCGGCTGCGGCAGCAGCTGCAGAAATCGTACGGTGACAGTAGCAATCCCAGCAGTTAGTGGTAGTGGTAGCGGTAGCGGTGGTGGTAG